ATTTCTTTTCCAATGAAATGATATAAAACATTTAGAAAATTCACATTCTAATCCAGAAGAGCTAACAGGAGAGAATTTCTAGTATTTGTTTGCATTTCTGAGGTACGAATTAAACTTTAACTTCTGTATGCATAACAAAATGCTTATGAAGTGTTTTGTCCAACCTTCTGTCTTGGCCAACACAGATTGCCTTGGTCTTGTTGTTTTGGGTTTTTTTTTTTAAAAAGGTAAAGTGATCAACCTAATCTCATAAACAGGGAGTGAGAGCACCTAGCCAGTGGCAAACTCAGGAATACAAGCAAGGCCTGTACCTCCAAGGGGAGTTGGCATAGTAAAACTATCTGACCTAACAGTTCATGTAGTGAGGTTTTTAAAAGAATTTTATGCTAGTGGGTTCTTGCTCTTTAGGGTCTAGGATTTTAAGAGAAAATAAATTCTACATGTTCTTTAATAGCAGAAATTTGTTTTTAAAAGCAACCCATTACTTATCTCTTAAAAATAGTATATAGATATTCAAAATGTATTTCCACATTCTGTTTTGGTGAAGAGACGTAAATCTCTGTTCAAAAAAGCACATGTACCTTTATACTCAACTTTGCGTTCTTCTGTCATTTAGTGACTGTTGATGTGTATTCTTATGTGCAAATTTGTCACTGATCCTGCAGTTCCAAATAAGATATTTTTTCTCTGTTAGGCTTTCTGCTGCTAGTGTCTCTCTTCTGTAAATTAACTTGGTAAATTTACACCACAGCCAATAAATAACATAGTCCCTTTCTGAAAGAATGTGTGAAATCCATACTGCTATCCCCTACCTTCTGTGGCAAGGCAGAGAAACAAATAAAGTAAAGGTCCTGTCACTCTGTGACCTTCAAATGATGGTTAAAAATGGTTAGAAGATCAGAATCAACTGACCTCAAAGAGCAGCTTGCTGCAGATCTATTGAATAGAAGGGAGCAAGGCCATTCAGTGAGTTACAGGTCAAAAGATCAATTCTCTAGTCAATATGTTTCTGAACATGGACCTAGCACAATGACTGACAAAACAGGAGTGATGTACTGAGAGAAGTGCACAGCCCATGAATCTCAGAGAGGCCTGAAAGAAAACTTGAAGTGATCAGACCCATAAATTACAGACCAAGTGAAGCACTGTCTCAGGGTTGTGGCGAGTTAAACATAATTCGGTGTGTGGTGGTAACTGTTTATGTGAAAAAGCAGAATAAGCATTATTGATATGGACTCCAAAAGAAATTCAAATCCATTAGGCTCATTGAAAGGGTGATACCATTGAGAGGGACAAGTGGACCACAGACAAGAGTTTAAAATCTGAGGTTTTAATAAATGAAATAAGGTGTGAGAGAATGCCTCTTCAAAGCAATCGCTTTGTAGTATTTTTCCCCCCATGGAATATATAGGCAGACATGCTGCAGTGTTGCAGACTGAAGTCTTTTCCAGAAGTTGCTTGGTTGGATTTTTAAACTATAAATTATAATTGCATTTGCACCTCAGTTCTGATTTTGATTTTAAGTGTTTTTTAGGCAAGATAGTTACAGAAGAAAGCTCTCAGACTTGATTACCATAGGTAGAGGAATACAAAAATATTTCAAAATGTTAACTTCTAAGACCAGCTTTCAGTGGACTGGCACAGAAGATGGAGATCACACATTTATCATATAGAGAAAAAGCATGCATGAAAGCAATTCCAACTTTAACCTGTTTTTCATTGTGAGAGGCATCATTGTGATTCCTGCTCTTTAGTCCAGTATGTCAGACTTGCAAAACAGCAGATGGATTGAGAAAAATGAAAATATTTTCTGTTCTCCTTCAGGAAGAACAGAAGGAAGGCTACAGTATGCAGAGATACCTGGTACCCCTTTCTCTCTCTCCTTTGTTAACCTGCTTTTCTCCTCCCTTGGCTTCTGTTTTGCGAAAGATGCTATTTCTGTCCTAAACATTATACTTCACACTTTCTGTCCCAAAAGGGACTTCAGCCTGCCTTTACCCTTTTTGTAGTATAGTGCCCAACTGGACTTGACAGCACTATGGCCATTAGCAGCCAATCTGCCTCTTATTAGTAGGTATCTACTTAATTATTTACAGACATGACATAAGCCTAGTAATGGAACCACCGGAAAGAAAATGTGCTAAGAAGATCACTGTATTGTCATCCTTTCAGTGATAAATCTGTTCTGTGTACCTCAAGATAAAGAGAATACCACAAGAACCCGAAGTGCCAGGCTAGTAACTACCCAGCTCAGTGCAGTTGTAGATCATAATGTATACCAGTTGTAAGAATTTTATATGTTTAGCAGATATTTAGCCCTTCAGCTATAAAGCACTGTGAGGGAGTCATGCACAGAAAGGGCAACAGGACTGCTGAAACTGTACCCTTAAAAAATCTGCAACAACTATAAATTTGTTAACCACCTCTACTACGTTCTGAGCAAATTTGGAAGGGCACACTGTGTTACATTATCAAAAAGTGACAACTGGCTATAAAGAACTATATATCTCTTTAATGATGAAAGGGTTATAATGAGAATAGATGAAATGAACTTAATGATAATTTAAAATAACATAGTCATTCTGATAACGGTTGTGGCAAGGTTGTAACTGTGCATTGCTGGTTTTGCACAAGCTGGAGGGGATTGACTTTTGTTGGTGGCCAAGAGGCTTTGCCTTGACAGGCTACATTCAATTTGCATGTTTGTGGGGAAAATCTGATGAGAAAATTATGGAGGTGATAAATGGCTCACCTAGAAGGAAGCTAGCAGTGGCAATCATGACCAACTTCTGGAGCAAACTGGTGTGATTCTAGATGTTGGGATCACCCTGCATGTCAGTGGCTTTAAGAAGCAATTGCTTCTTGGTTTCCAGGTCTCTCCACCATCAGTAAAGGGAGGATAACCCAAATCTACTACTCACTTTTGGGGGAGTTTTTCAGTATAAATTCAAAACTGCTCTGCTGATACAACTACTGAAGGTATTTCAAGCAAATCTGTTGCCTCAAAAAGGTGTATATTAATGTTGTTGCTTAAAAAAAGAAAGAGTACATAATTACTGTGATTTAGCCGCAGGATAACCGGTAACTTTTTTTACATACTTCAAGTATAACTTGCAAATGTCTGTGGCTACTTTCTAGATGACCTGTTGCTGGTATAGTTTGAAAGGCCACCAAAGCTGGGCTGTCACACAGGAGTATCTGTCACGTAAGCTAACATGCTCAGCCCAGAGAGCTGCCAGAGGTGCTTTGGATTTACTTTTTTCCTAACAGTTAAAATCTCATTTTAGTATAAGGTAATTTTTAAAGCTATTTTATCTTATTGCACATGTCAGAAATCTATAGTCAGGTGAAATCCAAAACATACCACTTAGTTTGGGAAGAATACACCTTCTAGCTTCCACTTTCCTTCCCAGCCCACAAAGGATGCAGAAGCCTCGCAAAACTTGATATTAGGGTAGTTGAAGGTAGTTTTCTAACTAACTAACTGTGGGCTCAATTAGGACAGGTACCAGAGCATCAGGAATTCACTGGAGAGTGGATGCAGGAGAAAATCAAATCAGTCAACCCAAAAAAGGTTTGTGCCTTGTCCCAGATTTTCTAAACGTGCCTACGGTCTTTAAACTTGTATCACAGATTCTGTAGTCTGTCAGGTGAAAAACATCATTGATAATCTTAAAAGCCATCACCCTGCAGGAAGTGAGTGCTGCATCCCAGCTTACACGCTCCAAATAAGCTCAGATCCTGCAGCAGAAACAGTAAAACCAAGAGACCAGCAATCCCAGGATTTGCAGCTGCCTGGAGCACAAACAGGAATCAGTAGTTCAACAGAATGTGCCACAAAATAATGTGTTAAGTTTTCTTGAGGGTTTTTTGCTTGTTTGTTTGTTTTTCCTCTACCAGGAGTGACATAATTAAACTACAAGTGAGTGCCAAAAGATATTTTAGACTTTTATAGGGAAACTGTTTTTTAGGTAAAGTGGAAACAAAACCAAGGTTCAAATAAGTAAGTTTTTTTTATGATATAAGGTTTTGTAGAAGTGATCTCTTCAGATGATTTAGCTTTTGCCCCAAAGATCAGTTCCATTGGCAGTATTAGTGCAGTCTTTAGCCTTATTTTTTTTTCAAAGTAAAAGTACCATATACTGGATAATTATTAAAATAAGCAATTACCTAATGTGAGAACTGGTCAATGCAAGAAGCAAAGGCCAGGTTGGGGCATGAAAACAACAGAGTGAGAATATTAGTGGGGGACAGACTCTGATTAAATTCCAGATGCTTTCAACAAGTTACTGCTTGTCAGCTGCACTGCAGTGATGGACCATGTGCATGTATTAAGTCCAGCCTGTTGGAGGGTAGAACATGTTAATCTGAACTTCATAGTTTGGGTTTGTGCCTTCAGTCTGAATTCTGTGAGTGGCAGAATTCACATGGATGCAGTGCTGTGTGCACTGTGCCTGTGGAGAAAGGTGTAGGAGCCAGATGGTATGTTGGGGTTTGTCGTGACAGGCAGCAGAACAGAAAGTAAAACTCATCTTTCCTGAGCTGTTCTGTTTTCATCTCAAATACCATAAAAGTCAGTTAATATTTTCACCTCTAAGTCCCAAGGACGTGCAGATGCAGCTCCCAGATATGTCATTCAGAAGTGTGGGGCTTCCTCCCTCTGATTATTTAGGTAGCTATAGTGAAGCATTTCGAAAGAATAAAACCAAAACCAAATCTGTGTCAGGATGAAAAGGTGAATGTGGCAGTGTTATACTATACACAGTGTGTGGGCCTACATTTTTTCTCTTACATGAATTTAACTTTATGTATTTGCTTCAGAGTACTTAGAGTGAAGTCTGCCTCTGTACCTTTTTAAAATGTACTATAAATTCAGGAGTGAGTTAATAAGGTGGCTCTCTGGATTGGGGGGGGGGGCTAGTTTGTTTCACATTGTTTTATCTTGCACCTTACGTTTAAAAAATTGATGCCAGTACAGAGTTACTGCCAGTGACATTGCCAAAGATGGGACTACAGTTAGGCCAATGCTCAGCAGCCCTGTGTCCAGTCCGACTGGGGAAAGCTGCTGCCTCTCACTTCCTTTGGCTTTGAAGTTACAGAGTACAACAGTAGAGTTGAATTTGTACAGTCTCAGCTGACAGAAGATCTGAACAGGGATGTGTGTATGTGCCTGCTTAAGTAAGGAGAGGAAGGGGTCCCATAAGCGACGTGAGGATACATAAAAGACATATTGCCGTTTATGATGTCTGGATGCCCACCTGGAGAGCAGAGAGCTTAGGAACAAAATAAAACGACTGAAATTCTGCTCAACTCTGGAATAAGATAAGAGTATAGCAGTGGAAGGATTTAAATGGGGAGGGCAGCTGTTATAGCCCCCAGTTGTACATATTTTATCCTGAGGCACCATTTGGTTTAATAAAATTTAGATCTAAGGCTGTCCTTAACCTATCAGTTTCTTAAGACTTAATTATAAAGGTTATACTTTCAAAGGACAAAAGCATTATTCATTTGTCTGTTCATGTCTTCCAGGTTTATCTTGCAGATTATGGACTTGCCTACAGATATTGTCCCAATGGGAACCACAAACAGTATCAGGAAAATCCTAGGAAGGGCCATAATGGGACAATAGAGTTTACCAGCGTAGATGCCCACAAGGGCGTAGGTAGGTTTCTTTTTTTTATTTCAGATGAGTGATTACAGAATGAGTTATCAGCCTGTGTGAGCTGATGTATACAGTAGAAGTAGTCTTGGGGATTGCTCAGACCCTTGTGTGGTGACCTCCTCTTGTACCTGGGAATGCTTCTCCAGGGCTGGTGCAGGCAGGGGGGCAGCACCATTAAACCCAAAAGGCTCGGCATGTATGGTACTGGGGGCAGACCAAGATACCCTAAGAAGAGAGCTCACCATTAAACTTAACTGGTTCATGCTGGGAGGACTGGTTTGAGTCTGCTGTACTCTGCAGAGGCAGAGGCAGTATCTGCTAATGTTGCATTGTCAAGGAAAAATGTTTTGAGTCTGCACTGTCCTTTAGGGAGAGCTGTGTCTGAGTGTTGCCATCTGTGTTATAGGAGGATATTTCAAGATGACATTCCTTCTGCAAGGAGAAAAACCTTTTTTGAAGCCATAAAGTGTTAACTTTTTGAAGTCTTTTGCCAGTAGCCTTTCATATATCTTACTTATTTAAACTCACTTTGATGGTATTGGAAACACATTTGCAGGTAAATTACATACATAGTCCTTTTATTGGATATTGATTGTACTGCCTTGCATTCCAAGGCAGACTTAATTCAACAATTCCCTAATTAGTTAAAGTCATAACCTATGTCTTGTATTCATTTACCATTAATTAAACCTTAGCTGTTTATTACACTGCAGTCCAAATCCAATAGCAGACCCATGGAGCCATGGAAAAGGGAATGGGAGGTCAATATCGAAAATATATGGTGTAAAGTCCCACTGATGGCTGCATTGTTCACAATCAATATGGTCAATGCAACACAACTTTCTTAGTTGCTATGTCAGCAAGACAAAAAGTCAATTCTAATGTTATGCTAGTGAAAAAAAATGGTGATTATTGAAAAACTTTGACTCTTGCTACCAAACAGTGTTTTTGTTAACTTTTCTTTCCCCTATCCCCCCCTTCACTCCCAGGATCACCTAAACCAGAAGGGATGGTTTGCTGCTGCCAGCTTGGCTGGGATCATAGTGTCATGAGTGATAACTGGAGAAATTTGTGCTTGTTAATAGCTGCTGAACTGTTACCTTAAACTAATACTTTCTAACGAGTTTTAGTTGGCACAAACAACTGTATATTATTGCTTTTTCTATTAAAAGGACCATTGACCATGTAATGTAGAGGGTCTTGATAATTTGCCAGAGCTGTTAAAACCTGCAATCGTTTAACTCTGGTCATTAGGAAAAATGAAATAAGACAGTCAAGTATTTGCTGCTCAGACAATTGCACGATTTCACCTGCTACAAAGTACTTTGTGGTGAAGAGGGCATCTGTTTTGGGCTCTTCTGGCCCTCCCAAGCATACAGCATGTTTTCTGGAGTTCTGACTCTGGCTGCTTTGCCTGGTAGTGTGAACAGTGTGGCTGTGTACTAGTATTGGAGGTGGATGCTATTTGAGGAATAGGCGGAAGGTGGAGTATTTGGGATTTGGCAATTGGATAGTTGTAACAGCTAGTTTGTATCTGATGGGTATGTGATTACAGGACACATGATTCCTTTTATTTGAATATGTAGGGAGATTTTACAAACTTGGGTGGCAAAAGGTGTGCAGATGGAAATGTGAGGTAAATTTTGCAATCTGTGACTCCAGGAAACAACTGTGAGCAACTATGTTGTTCATCATTTGTCTTTCCTGGGTTTTATTCCTTTCTCTCTTTTTGTTGTTCCTTTACATTGCAATTATTTTATCCTTAGTTTTTAGTTTATTTCAAGTATATTAAACTGTTCGTACCTCAGCCCATGGATTTTACTGGTTTTACCACTCTCCTTTCCATCCCACTGGGAAGACACGGGGTGAGCAGGCAGCTGCATGGTACTCAGTTGCTGGCTGGGGTTAAGCCATGACAACCAGCCTGAATCCATTAAGGTCAGATTACCAGAGTTTCCCATTTGCAGCAGATCTCTCAGCATCCACGGGAAAATACACATCTGCAGCAACTTCTGTTGGAGCTTGCACAGGTCCAGATGGCAGAATACAGCGACTGGTTTCCCTCATCTCTCATTGTGAGCTTTAGAGTTGTGGAGAAGTTTCAGGATAATATAAGTCTTCCAGCAGTTGGGGCAATGGGCTTCTTTGCTCAACAGTCTCCTGTATTCCCAACTTGTGGTGAAGTCTCATGCACCAAGTGAGGTGAGGTACTCTTCTGAGAAGGGTTTAAAGCCTGTTGGCAAATGAAAGCTGCATAGACAGCCTTCATTCTGGTCTTACCCAGTTTTTCAGAGCGGAGTATTTTTTTATTTCAATGCTGCAGGAATATAGTTCTAATTTTTAAATGTTATTTTATATAAATGAGATCCTTTCCAGAGGGCATTTCCTGCATGTACAACATAAATATCTCAAACCTCCTGAACAGTACCAGTTGCTGCACTGAGCTAGACAAATGAGAACATTTTGAGTACCTGAATATATACAGTGATTTGAGGTACATGCTGAAACTTTAACAAAATTAGAAATTTGTTGCTTTCAAAAGTGCCTCTTGGCAATGCTCGAAGCTGATAACCTCCTTGCATAAAGCCAGTCAAATGCATTCACTTCCCACTAATTTAAGTCAACACCGGAGTTTCCCTAGTTGAATGGAGAGTTTAACCAGCTGCATGCTGGTTTATTCCCCCAACTCTCCTTGGAGCTCATCAGATGTGGAGGTTATGCAATCCACTGGGATCCAGCAAGTTTCCTACCAGTGACCACTGCATGGTAACAGTTTTGGGGGGCAGAATTAGTCTGTATTCTTCCGACAGCTTCTGGTAAGGGCCAAATTGGATGTGCCGTTCCTGTGGCAGTGGATGGTGAATTCCTGTCTTCGAGCCAAGTGCTTCAGTGCGTGCTGGTGTGCACTGCTGGTGCTGGTGGCTTTGGCTTTGTGCCAGAACTGAGGAGGTGAGCTGGGAAAGGCTGGGAGCAGCATCTTTGCCTCGTGTCTTGGCTCTTCATGCTGGTTTTAGCTTTAGTTTTGCTGGGCTTGCCTGTCCACCCAGTATGTGTGTGTGTCTGTGAGCCTACAAATGCCACAGCACTGCTTGGGACTCACAGACCTGTCAGATGTTTGCAAGGATTCATTGCACCCTCAGTTGCATCCACAATCTGTGCCTAGCTCGTTTTAATCAAGTCAGGGTCCAAGTTGGGCTCTGCCACAGGATCCGACCCACACCATCAGCATTCCAGTATGTGGTGGCATTGTGGGTATTATAAAGTTAAACCCTTTTTAATCTGATGCAAATTTCATATGGCACAACTGCATTGATAGTTTTAGCCTTGCATTTGAGTGTATTCACTGTATTCATTTTTAGAGACCATACTGTATAAACAGTATTACACTTCGGTTTGTTGATTGATAATTAAAGAGAATTATATCTGTACCCAGTGCACATTTAAAAAATTGTTACATAGTTAGTGTTAAAAAGTAATATTTGGATCAATGCCTTCTATGGATTTTTGTAGATTTTCTACTCACTGAGGCATGCAGTCAATACCTAATTTCTCTGGAGATATACTGTGCTTAACATATTGAGGTTTTTTTAAATACTCCAGTCCTGTGCATTGAGTGTGTAGGACCAGTTTTAATTTGCTATCATTGATGAACGTAAGAGTATGAACTGTCTATGTTGAATTCCCTCCAGCATACATTTGTGTTTGCCATCGATTTCAAGATGACTCTCCTCTTCCTTCTAACGTTTCACAGTAGCTGTGCACAGTTTCGCTGTCTCTCACATCGGGTAGATACTCCACCAAAATCTGTGCAGAACTTATAGCTACATCTGGAATAGTAAAAGCTGCTTAACACAGTAGTGGTGACTTTTGATAAGCTTAGGATAAGTGGAACGTCTGATGATGTTTGCCTCAATCAGACCCACTGGTTGTCGCTTTTTTCTGTCTGGTGAATGTGTCGTCTGAGCTAGTATCATCCAGCAAAAGTGTGTTCATGTGTTTTCATCTCCTGTGTCAGGGAAGACAGCTGCAGCTATGCCTGAGGCCATATTTTAGCCAGTTCTCTGTGCCCCTCACATAGGGTTATTGCGACTTGTGCTCCTTGAGGTCCGTCGGAATGCTTGGACACTGCGTTTGTCCAGGGCAATGCCAGCATCAGGCTGACTGCAGGGAAAACTCTGCAGTTCTTGCTCTTGCTTTCCCCACTGCTCTGACAGAACTGTTGCTGTTTGATATTAAAAACACAGCTCAGTGCTTGTCCATTTTTCCTGCCCTGTTACATGCAGGGGTTGACTAGAATATATGCAAGGTTCATTCTGTGGGGAAGGATATGTAGGAATATAAACACCTATGCCTGGAAACACATTCTCTCGGAGCCTGCTTCCAGAGAACAGAGCTCTAAATGGCTCTGGATCAAGAGGTTTATTTGGCATCTGTCCATGCATAGTTAGGATTCAGAGGGAGCCTGCTGGATTTTTATTTTTTTTTGTCGGTCAAATGAATTATTGATTTGCTGCAGTTTGATATGTGTTTCCCAAAGACTGTGTGCAGGAAAAACTGTAAATCCTAAATAATAAAAGGAAAATATAACAGATCTGGCAAAAAAAATGGGTGGAACTTTGCAGTGTGAAATAAATAAAATGGTTTAGCTCCTGAGAGTTGCATTAGAAATGTGTGCCCAGCAGAAGAGGGAGCAGGAGGTGGTTGTAAGTGAAAGAAGTGAGGCTTTAGCAAGAAGGAGATTGGATAGGTTCCTACAACCACCTCTGTAAGCTTATTCTGCCCTGCCAAGAATGTCCAGAAGCAGCAAAAATAAGATGCTGAGTGTTACAACTTTCTAGCACAACTGATGAGTGTGCCTGGGATTCGGCTGTTTAATTTTTTTACACCAGGAATTCAAAAAGCCACTGAATCTCAGAGCTGTTTGCCCACGCCTACTTGTCAGGCCCTTACCTTTGTGATTCTTTTCTTCTGCCACACAGATGTGAAAGAAGAGTAAAACCTTCTGTCCCCACTCTCCTGCCACACATTCTCCTTACTGCAAGCTTGGAACCTTTTACTTCCGACCAGGTATCTACAACCCTTGCCACCACCGTTTATCTACCATGCAAATCTCATGGTGAACTTCCCTTGCATCTTCCAACCTTCCCACCATGTAAACTTCTCCTCACTGAACCAGGACACCAGCCCTCTTCCTTTCAGCACATCCCATTCCAGCAGTCCTGATGATTGTTCCCTCCTGCCAGCTCTGCTGTGTGTTTTGTGCCATTGGGTGTATGGCTGTAGGATCCAAGTTTAGGAGAGACCATGGCTGGCACAGGAAAAGTCACTCCTTGCCATGTCCCAGACTGAGTTGTCTGGAAGAGCTGTGCTCCAGCTGTGGTGAGGCCATGTTTGCCCTGGATTTTTCTTTCCAGCATTCCTTGGTGACGGTTATTGTCAGCGAGTACTTGAGCAATGTGCCAAGCTAACAGTTCAGGGCTGTACATGAGGAGAGGATTGTTCCAGGCTGGCAGTTGCCCTGCCTGAGACTGGATAACTGTATGAAATAGCCTCCAAGCACTAAAATTTATCATAAATTTAACTATGTTTATCTAATCTTTTCCCTGTAGCCACCCAGTGTGTAGAGTTAGTCACTCTCCTGCTGCAGTGAGCTCCTCAGACTCTGGGAAGCAATTCTTTATCATCAGCTTTTTTCAGTGTTTTTCCTTTGTCCTGCCCTTGATAGAGGCACTGATTTTTGACAACTTTTGTATTTGTTAGGGTTTTTATCATCTCAACCTTGAGTTAAATTATATCACTTTTCAGTTCATTTATTAAAACTTCGTGGTGATACATTTTTATCATAACATGACCATCATGAAATATAATTAACTTTCCTTATGTATACAGAGATACATAATTTATTTTCTTCTCGAGGTGAATTGCTTCAGTTATGTTATTCTGAATTATCATTGGATCCTGTGCCTGCCTGTTGTGTATATGTTTGTGGTGTACATGAAACTCTTGATTTCATTGACATGGTTGTTAGTTCATTAACTTCAGTGGAGTTGTTCCGGTTTTATCTTGGCAGGACTGAGGACACAATCAGGCCTTAAATCCTCAAATTAAGAAATTAAACTATAAAAATACCGTGAAGCAAAATATCATCAATATGTTCCCATTAAACAGTATTTCATATGAGGCTAAAGTAATAGTAAAAAAATCCTGTGGAAGCAGAAATCAAACATCTACTAAAAAAAGAAAGAATAACCCAGCAAGTTTTTTAGTCTAGAGAGAAGTACAAGAATTTGATTTAAATAAGTGCTGTTTGGAGTATACATTCCTGTAATGGTGACAAGTTATCAAGCAGAGTTGTTTTATTTTTGCCTGGCTGTTGTATTTAAAATGAAGGCAGATTGATTTCTCTCTGTTGATGTTTATCAGGAATTCCTGTAATCTTCACTTGTGTTCGCAGTTTTATTTTTCCAAGTACACATATCATTGAAATTTATCTATTTGTGCTTTATTTTGGGGTGAAAATCTATTAATTCCATTCTTCATAGATAACATTAATTCATTTCAGATTAGCGTGATACTTTTTAACAAGAATCTAAATGATTAAAAAAGCTGAGAATGTTATGTTAGTTTACACCGAGCTGACAACAGAGTAGAGAGAATAAGCAAGTACAGGCAAAGAATCAAATGCTGACGTTTTCATGTGGTTCTGTGAAAAACACATGTAAATGTCTTTATTAAGTAACACCTGCAGTGACCTAGGAGATAAAGGGATACAGGAGTTACTGTGTCTCTGTAAAACACTTCCCCTGTTATTTTTACTGAGGTATAGTTTAGCTCCACGTATGCTTTTTGTTCCCTAGCTGCCTTCTGTGGCCTTACGCAGGAGTTAGCCAAGAGCTCCTGATTTGTGATGGCTTTGCCCTGGTCTTAGTCAGGAAATGGCTGGAAGAGCTGCCGGTGAGTGGGAAGGTTGTTAGTCATGGCCAAACTGTTGACTGTGGAGTAAACTTTAGTCTCTGGGGCCTGTTTTGTCAGAAAATGAGTTATCTTGGGTTAGCTTCTGAAATCTCATTGGCTTAGTGTTATTTACAGATGCACAGCAATTAATCCCTCTGTGGAAAAAAGCTATCTGTTGTAATTCCAACAATTTTCCTCAAAAGGCCACTTTCTGTAGCCCCTCTTACACAAACAGGTGCCAGAAAAGCATTGTGTGAAAATTAGAGGATCTGCAGTCGAAAACACTGGCTTACACGGATATAATCTGGAATTGCCATAATGGAAAAAGGAGTTGTGAACACATGTGTATGAATGGAATTGTTCCACAGTTAACAGGAGATTTATGGCTGGAGAAATCACTACAGAACAGCAAGTGGTAGAGATTGTGTTTTTATTTTAATATGGGAGCCAAGTCTTGCATTAGGAGGTTGCTGAATCTAGTGCAGGGAATAAACGACGCCCGAGGGATAGCGCAGCGTTCCGTTGGATCGAGGGCCTTTAATAATCCCAGAGCCTAATAGCAGTTAAGATAGGGAATGTATAAAAACTAATCTTCTGCTTTTACAATAATGTGTGTACAGGAACAAGAACAGTTATGATGTGTTGGCACTGTGGCTTTTAGCAGATGACTTCTTAAATTAAAAGATAAGTTTGCTGAGTGACTTTCTGGAATTTATTTAATGAAGGCCCATAAAATATGATATCTGTTTACAGCTGGATTAACAGCACTGTACTCTGCTACTAGACTGGATAAAAAGTGTCAAACAAGTCTGAACTCTTCTTTCCTTCCTGGAAAGCACAAATTCCTTTTGGAAAGGCACAAATGTAACTTCTGCGTCTGTCTGTCTCTAATCCTCATGAACAGTTTCTGTTGTTGCAGATTCCATGTGGTTTTGACATGCAAACTGTAGGCTGCAAGTCAAATGTGTACTGAGAAATCTTGCAGCCATCCTGCTTGTTGAGTTTCTTCAAGTTTGGTTTCCTCTTAGTAGCAGCAGGCAATAGCAATTCTATTAGTATTGCACTTCTCCCCCTCTCTTTCTCTTGGAAAAGTCAGCCTATAGATTAACTTCAGTTACCCATTTCTATGCATAGATGATGTTTGGGGATGGAGTTAATTTTTGATTGAATTTTATCTCCTGTATTTGCATTCTGCTTGGGGTGTGCAGAGTGAAAGCTGTTGGTGAAATAACTTCCTCTTTGGAAGCGTTAGTGGTAAGTTTACTCAGGACTTCGCTAAACAGCGAGTGTATTTTGGGTTGTGCCGAGTCTAAAGGAGCGGTCCCGGTGCCTGCAAGCAGGCAGCTCCGGAGTGTCAGCGTACACTAGATGGCAGTTTTGTCCTAGCATCCGAGTTCAAACAGCTCCGCGGGAGAACAGGAAAGGCCATCAGTGTTTAGTCTGCTCTCACAGAGTCCCTGCATGACCAATGTGGACCCCATGGACTTCCTGGAACATGTGTTAGCAATTTAGCAGCAGACATTTATTTCTTTGTTTTACTGCTTGGCTCTTTGAGAAAGTGTTGGTACTCAGTTATGGGCTGTCTGGATCATGTCAGAGGCCATGGGGATCAAGTCCATGTGACAGGCCAGACTGAGGAAGGATGAAGTTGGAGGAGGTGAGGAAACTGACCCTCCTCACTTCAACAGTAACAAGTCACTGCCTGTCTGTGGACTGTGGCCAAATGCTGGGTCGGTTTAGGTCTAGTACAGCTGAATAAACAAAACACTTTACCCGTTTGGCTTTTTCATATTTCATCAACACCAGTTCAATCAAAGTCTTTTCTATTTCCTAAGAAGAGGTTCTTATTCTTAATTGTTTTTTGGGTTCTGTTTTTCCCCCTCTTCCCCCACTCCTGTCCCACATTTTAGCCCCATCCAGACGAGGTGACCTTCAAATCCTTGGCTATTGCATGCTGCAATGGTTATGTGGGAAGCTGCCCTGGGAGCAGAACCTGAAGGACCCTGTGGCTGTCCAGGCTGCGAAAACCAAGTAAGAATAAAACACCACACGCGTGTACACACACCATGCTGTAACCCTGAAGCACAGAACAGGTCTGAGACAGCTTTCCATGCTACACCTTAGGAGAAAACTAAAACAATTATCCTTAATTAAGAGAGATGTGGGAAGCAGTTAAAATGTGAACTTTATGTGCATGTCTACCCTCCTTTGCATGTTTATGTCTGTACTGCTGTAGAGAGAGGATAAATTCCAATGCACAGTACACAGGCATTCTGTCGGCTGTGTATTTTTCCAATACTTTTTTTTTTTTTAAAGAAAACATTTGTAAATTAGCACAGGCCTTAGTGCACATACAGAAGGTTGTTCTGTGGTTCCTTTAAAATTCACGGGTGCTTTGTAGAGACTGGAGTATAAACAGCTCTTGGAGCTTTTTCCACATGTGCATTCAATTTATTTAACTTTCTATATGATACTATTTTTCAGATGTTTTTCTGTAGGTTTTTAATGTTCTATAAGCTTGCTGCCACTACAAACAATTAAATACCAAAATACTAAGGAACTTGATGAAAATCTTTCCTTTATCCCCAGTGTGACTCATTTAGAGCTCACTAAAGCAACAGAGTGTGTTTAGTGTGTTCTTCCTCTGCTTTCACGGTTGGGACTGCAGAGTTAATTGCACATGGTACAGGGTAGCCTGTAGAAGGCTACACCGAAGAGTAGTTACCCAGAAATGTAACATCACAATTGCAGGAGGCAACAAACTTTTAAGTAGGACAAGTCACAACAGAGGTACACAATAGGGATAGCTGATCCACGGAAATCAATCTGCAGATTCCGTGTGGCATCGGCTCTCAGCAGACAAGAGGTTAGTCTGCAGCCTGCGGATAGTGCCGATTGCATCTGTAAATGTTGACACCGTCTGTTATGTTTAATATTTCTCCTTTAGAAGTTCTGATCATTACACGACCCCCTGCAAGGTAACACTCATGCAATTCAATGTTAAATCAATTTAATCAATCAAGCTGCTTCACTAATTCTTCTCTTGCGGTTAACCCTTGGATCGCTCGTGTTTCCAGGATGCTGAGCAAAGAGGCTTCAAGGAAATGCACAGAAATGATACAGATTGCACTTAGCAGAAATCTGCTCTTAGTCTAATGAATTCCATTCCTGGAATTAGGTAACTTGCCCAGGTTATTCCTTTTTATCTACCTCAGTTTTCAGGTGCCTGTGGGCACTGGGCTGTCCTCCTGGGTCATGCCTGTGCAAAATGAGGGCAGGTGTTACCTCCTGTTTCCAGATCCTGAGCTCCAGTGTTGTTTTCTGTTTCTGGATGGATAGGAAGTGCACCTGTGGCCCTTCTGTTCATGAAATATGTGGGACTTTAGGTCACCTAACCTCCCTCTCCCCTTCTGGCCCTGCCAATGCCTGTGTGTAATTTTGACAGCACTCACCCAGCTACCCATGAGCTCCCTGGCAGGAGTACTTGGCGCTAAATGCCTAGCGAGCACACCAGAACTGCTGCTTAAATTCCAAAGTACAAATAGGAATAGTCAAACTGATATTAGAACAAGCCATTTCGCCTCAGAGGGGTTTTCTTTTTCATTCTAGAAAGCTTAAAATATCTACAAAGCAAACCTTAAAGTGCAGTTTTAGCTGTCAGCCCAATCTTGGTGAGACCAGCAGTGTGCAGAGAGTTAAAATTTGAGCTGGTAAGGGGATATTTGAGTTTAAAAGGACTACTGTGAGTCATTAGCTATCCCGGAGGTCCATTCCCTTTGGAACTGAGACTTGCTGTCTCCCTGAATCCCAAATGAAGAATCACCTGTTCCAAAACCACAGTAAGTTGTTGCACTCTCATGTTGTTTCAGACTTATGGATGAGCTCCCAGATTCAGTGATGAAGTGGGATTCTTCTGGAAGCAGCTGTAAGTACCTGCCACTATGCACCATGTAGCTCTTTAGCATGTTACTAAACATACTTAAATGTTTTACTCTGGGGTGGAGAGGAAGCAAAAGACAAGTGAAAGTAACAAAAATTTAACAAAGTCTTCAAAAAAAAGCGAATTCTTAGTCTCATCTGTGGTGTATCCCATGGAGTGACATAAGAGATCTTGGCCATATGTAATCCAAGGTGTTGCCCATCAGTGGTTTCCCTGTTTTCTTGAACCACTTGATAATGACAGCAAAATATTGCTGCTGTTGGACTGGTTTAGGAGGCAACTTCAAAAACAATAGTTGTATGTGAAGTGAAAAAAACTTAAAAACTTGCATTTTTCCAAAGCATTCCCAGTATATTATCTCTGCAGATTTAAATAATATTGCTGAGAGTAATTAATATTTAAAGGGTATTATGATATATCAAATATAAGACTTCTCTTTTACACAGAACTATCAATATTTGCCAACAAAGTATTTTAATGCGTATATTTGGATAATTTTGGTGCTGTAGGAATTAATGCCTGAGCATAACGAGATGGAGCACATCAGGGCTGCCTTATTTATCCAAGGCTGTTCCTCTTCTCATCTCAAAAAGACAAGATATTGTCATTTCTGTATTTTGAGTGTGTCTTCAGCTGAAATTGTGTCGCCTTGTTGGAATTAAATCCTCTCTGAAGGAGAGTGAAATTTACGGTTAAATCTGCTCTACAGGTGAAATAGCCAAGTTTTTGGCCTGTGTTTATGGCTTAGCTTACGATGAGAAGCCGAAGTATCAAGAGCTCAAGAAAATCCTGCTGGATGGACTGAAGTCAAGTGGAAGGCAGTATGATGGCCCTCTGGAATTCTCTGCAGCAGCATGCACACAGAATCACTGCACTGCTAAAGTGTCCAGAGTAAGTGAGACAGTTCTGGGACCATTTCTGACATCTCCTGCTTGCTTGTCGCCTTTCCTTTTGCAGAAGAGGAAATAGTTTAAGATCTCGAAATGAGACTGACACAGCAGTTCTTTTGCCTTATAATACACCATGTTTGTTAATTCCTGTTTCCCCTGGCTTTGCTAAAAAGTGGAATGTCAACCCTTAAGAGGAAGAACTGCCACGAGTCCTTTTGACCCACAGCCTCTCACTTCAAAGCAGTAGGTCTGTGGAGAATGATTTACTTTCAGGATAATGGGGAAGTCAAGGACTTTGTTCACTAACATCTTGAAGACAGGCCTGAATGCCAGGCTTTTCCTTCGTCACAGATTAGAAGCAAAGTTACCTTTATTAGTGCAAGCATTTAATTCATTTTCTCCCTTTCAAACTGTTCTTTGTCATTTGCCTCTCTACTCCTGCAGCCCTAATGTGGAGGAGGTATTACTGTGGGCTTGAGCTGTGCTATTGGTATGTGGAGCCATGTGATGTACTGCCACAGGATTTTAAAAGTGACAGGTATCCTGTCCTATTTTCCTTTAGTCTCTCAAGTGTAAGGCTCTAAGTTAATAAAGCTCTGCTTCACTAAGTGGAGAGTGAGGTAATTAGCAGCCTTCCTGGGAAATGTCAGTCCAGTGAAACTCCCTCATGCACCAGCCCTGTTTGGGTCTCTGGTGCCTGTGTGCAATAAGGCAGGGTCAGGGGACCATCCATTTTTAATATTTCTGGTGAACTTTGGACCATCACAAGTGTCTGTGAGCCAAGAATGCAGGATGCAAACTAATGTGACTGATAGGCTGCGAGATGAATGGTGATTCAAGTATCAGTGCACAGATGGTTCTGATTTGCTGAGTTTTGTAGCTGCTGCAACTGAAGACATAAAATATCCTTCTAGTCATAAATTAGCTCTTTGGAAGCAAAACCTTGGCACCAGAGCTTTACAACCTTCAATTAGTAGGTAAAGAAGTATTTGAATGACTGTGGTATTGACATCTGTAGGCCTGCATAGTAATCATTCCTAATAGAAGAGAATATCTGTTTGAGGGGGTTTTGCATGGCTAATTAACCACCAGTGAGAATATGTAATTTTTTCATGATCTCCTGATTGTCACCTTTCTCTCATGATACAATTACATTTTATTGTAGCAAGTGCCTCACAAACCAATTGTCAGCAGTATTTACGTATTGTGGAAGGCAGAACAAAAGTTCATGTTTAATGAAAAGGCACTGGGTTTTGATCTTGGTAATTACAGATACCTATTGTAGCAATTGTATTGACTTTTCTGGTTTTAGCACCTTTCTTTTTTCTTTTAACAAAACCAGAAGCTATTTTGGTGACAGGACTTCTCTTGCTCTGGCGGTGACCACTTTGTCCTCACTCATTTGAGAAGCTTTTTTTAAAGTTTGCAATGTTTTCTGAACTGAATCCAAGTATCAGGTTCACTGATTTCTAGCTGATCCTGCTGGATCTCTGTTTCACAGCAGTCTTTGATTTCTTGGGAGTCAGATACTGCATAGTCAATCTATTTCTTTCTTATTGCCTGGCCTAAAGCTTGACAGTGTGCTGGCATAAAAGAAGAGCCTGACCTTCCAGGCTGCAGGAGCTGCTGCAGCACTTGCTATTTGCAAGTGCACAACCCCACTGAAAAATCTATGACCGAGGAGTGTCAGTTATCACCACTCCTGTGCCGCAAGACTAAGTGGAATTGGGTTTGATGGCCAAGAACAAGATCAGAGAGAACGTTTGCATATTACTAAATCTTGGCACCTGTCAGCACTTTCTCAGAGAAATCTGTAATGCTGAGTGTCTTACTTCTTGGAACAGTCAGAACACAACCATCACCTGGTTTTACTGGAGTGTGTTCCTTCAGCCAGTTCTGCTGCTGACATGAGCGAGTTTCTTCAACATTCACTGCAGAACAGCTGCAGAAAGGCAGTTTTAGGGTTATTCAAAGGACTTAAGGAGTACTTAAATACAAGTAGAGAGGGCAAATAACTGAACTTTCTTGAAGCTGATTGCTGTTTTCAGAAAATGCAGCATTTCAGTGGCTTGGTGCACTTAGTGCCGCAGTCCTGACAGTGTTGCGTGACAGGAAGGCTCCTCCCACTCCATCCTCTGTAGGCATCCTAGGTCTGAGTCTTTACATCTCTGCATTCCCTTTCCACATCTCCTTTTATTCACCAAATACTTCTCCGATTAAAGATGCAACTTAACAATAGAGGAGGCCACTAAACCAAGCCTCTGTCTCCTCCCTTGCTTGTGAGCAGATTCTGACTCCAGGTGCCCTGTCTGATCCTACCTGTACCAGGTTGGTATACAGGAAAAGAGGTGATTTGGGGTTAATTCCCATCTGAAGACTAGTAAACACCTGTAAGTACCAGTCAGGGGATCCTGTAGCACTAGTTTCTTGAAGAGGATTGCTACAGAGCATGGATTTAAGGATACAGCTCCCTGTATTGTACCTGACTCTAATGTTGAGATGACATTAAAAATGTAGCAATGGCTACGTCCTGGTCCTTTGTTCCAAACCAAACAAAAGTGATAAAATATTAATTGCATTAATTCTCAAGTTTGTTTACCACAGTTTTTGGCCCTGACTAAGTATTTTCAGCTTCTCCCCCTCCAGTGAAAGGCCAAAGGAAGTGTGGTGTGGTCAGGCTGACTGCTTGCTTGATTGTGGAGAAATCAGATTAAAAACTAATTACATCAATAGCAACCTGAAAATGTATTCATATGAAATATGGTCATTCTTATGCATAAGATACATACTTTTATGCATTTTATACACAAGTGCTTTAAGTGCTGTTTGGAAGGTGATGCAGTTGTGGAAGGTGTGTGTACTTTGTGTGAAATCTGGCCTTTTTTCACTCTACAAATTGCTCCCTGTGCATCACAGGGTCGTCTACCAAAGCCGAAACCAGCTCAGCAGAAGGGAAAAAAGACAGAAGGTGAAGAATACACCTGTCAAAACAAAGCCTGTGCTGGGGTACCAGGCACTCAACTCCCAGGTGAAGAAAAGCCGAGGAAACTGAACAGGAACAGGGTGCTTCACCCAACAGAGCCTCTGCTGGTGAGGATTTGGGCCCCTTCAGGCATCTGCTTGCTCTGTTAGCTCCATTTCCAGCTTGGGGTGGGCAGGGAGGAAAAGGGCTTGAAAAAAGCCAAGTGCTCTGTCACAAATCCCAGAAGTTGGCAGATGTTTGCTGGCTCCTAGTATTCCAGACATGAACCTCAGAGTCTCTTATCAGCCCAGGGGATAAGCACCAGGAGAGCAGTACCATACCTGCCCCAAACCTGAGAGATCCAAGTGCTGGAACAGCACCTGTGCTAACTCTGACTGCTACTGAATTCCTTTCCTGTACCCCAGCAGGTTCCCTTACCCAAGCCCTTGCACCATAATGAAAACTGGGGGAAAGAGGATGACTCCAGCTACCCGAGCAGGCCCCGTGCCCGGGTGCCGTGCCGGCAGTTCTACGTGGAAGAGAAGCCAATTAACTTTCACCCTACGGTTCAGGAGCCTGAGCAGCCACAAAAGGTGAGTGGTTTGGTGTTACCTTAGAACAGTCTTGGGGCCCTGAGAAGGAATGATCAGCTTTTTTTAAAAGGAAGAATTAAAAAAACCCCACAAACAAAGCCTGAACTGTGTCTGCAAACTGGATGTTTGCCACAAACAGTAAAGGTTTGTGTTGTAGTTGCTTAGATGTACTGTTAGCCAACTACCACTCCACTCTTGTGTACATAAAGCCCTGCACTTGGATGCAGATACAAGTGTTGGGAAATTACAATCTCTTTTTGTGGACCTTGTTGTTTTCTTGGGAGAAATTTATGTCAGTAACTTTCTTTTCTATGTCGTGGAAAACTTCCTAGCACTTGTTAATTAAGTTCTTAAATTCTGACAAATCTGAGGATTTTAGGAGTTAATTAATTCACCTTAAATATTACTGGTAATTTACTGCATATCAGTCTTACTCTTCAACTCTACAGGAAAAAATGATGAAAAAATAAAACAATTTTAGCAAAATAATGCAGAATAATGTAATGGTAATTATAGAATAATGGTAATCAAGGTGTGTTCCTTTTCTCTGGAGCTTCAGTGTATTTTAGTGAAGGGATTCCACCCTGGTTTACTTTCATATGAAAAATAACTTGGTTAAAAATGAGGATAATTTCTAATAAGCACAAAAAAATGCAACTTTCAAGGTAGCTTTATGATTAATGCAAAATTCTTTGCGTCAAGCAGTCTGCTGACCACTGCCTGGAGACCCCGGTACAAGCTGGGAGAGGGAAGCAGAAAAAGCACAGCTGTACCTGAGAGCATCAGGCAGGACAGTGGTGAGCAGAACCATTGGTTTGCTGTTTAACAGGGCAGGTGGAGTCTGAAAAGTCAAATATAGCTTTGGAATAGGAAGATAGTCCAGTGCTGCTTGCTAGTCCTCAAATGTAAAGTTTTTACAGGAAAGAGACTGAGCACTGGGCTAGTGTTTGGATTTGGTTGTTCTAAAGGAAGAGCTGCTATTCCAATAGGATTAAACATGCTGTGTCCATGTAGAACTGTTGTGTGGTACTGAATATTCTGCATAATACGAGAGAGAGTCGAAATGGATGTCAGATACCATTTAAGATATTCAAATGAGAAACTGGAGAAGGAAAAAAAAGCAGGATTCCATTAGTTTAATTTGGCAGAATTCCTCTAAATTCCGTTGACACAGTTCAGGAGCAAGGAAAGTTATGTAGAAAACCAAAACTGTACATGTTTTGGGAAAAGAGAGTCAAGTCTTGGCTAAATGAGAAATGGAATGCTGGTTTGGGGATTCCTTTTGGAGGTGGAGATTAGCTAAGGATGGCATTGCTTCCAGAGCTGTAAAACAGCCCAGGCCCTACCCTGCTCAGCCCCACACTACCAGCATGTGTTTATGCCCTGTGCAGGAGGTCAGTTCAGCTTCACTGTGAAATACAAAACTTAGACAAATTGAGATAGCAAATCCAGCTTCAGAGTTGTCTCTCAGGTTTCCAGGGTAAATCTTTATTAGCAGGAACATAGGAAAGACTGAATATATTAAAGTTTTTTTGGAAACAGGTTAAAGATAGAGAGGAATTTCAGCTGTAGCCTTCAACAATAAATACAGATTATGTCTCTTTAGCAGGTGTTTAACCACACCTTATGTTACACATTTAGTATACAATATCCATACACCTGCAAATTCCAGAGGTCAGGCTTTGAAGTGATGTATTGCTTTCTCTAGGATAACATTTGTTCTTCTGATTCACATCTCAATCAACATGAACTTTATTACTACTATCTTCTTCCTCCACAGAAAGACTGGACGAGAGATCTGCCACCATTCAACCCTCACACAGTATTCTCAGAATCCATGAAGAAACACAACCACTTCCTAACTCCAGTTCAGCCAGCACCATCCCAGGCTGGCTCTGGCACCAGTCCTTCTCTAGCTGTTATATTCAGGCTTGCATTTACTGCTGAAACCTACCCCTACACTGCAGCTGTTCTAGTGCTCCTGCTACTCATAGTACTCTCCTTGTGTCTTCTCTGATGTTGCTGTTTCCGTATCTTCAGTTTAAGGGCTGTGGTGTTCCCATCACAGTTTTTTTCTCAGAGTTTCTTCATTGAAGATTTCAGTGTCAGGGGCTTGAAAAAGTTTTTTAATAATTCTGTCAGTGCATACTTTTTACAGGCAAAGTTTTCTTAACCTTTCCAGCTCTGCATTCAATAGTTATGCATGCACTAAGCTATTTGTGCAGGGCTGTTTTCTGTTTTAAGTATTGGAGTTGGTTGTGGTGGTTTTTTTAAACTGCACTTTCATTGCAGCAACATTAAAAAAAATCATAAAACACAATGCAGAGTTATACTTCATTACTTTGGTACTAGTGTGTTGGTAACTGCTGTGGGGCTGTCTTTATATTGTGTCCAAAAACCTTTAGTTATATATTGATGCATTAAATGCACAGGAATTTACAGTTTTCCTCTATTCCAGTGTGTAAAGTAAAGATATTGGCCACAATTCTGTTTTAAAAAAGACTCTGTTAGCAGCTTTTGCCTTTTTCAGAGCTCCCACACATTTAGTTCACTCCTGTTCCGTGGATTCCCTTACCTTATTACAGTACGGACATTCACCAAAGATGACATTAAAACTCTGTCTGCTGGTAGGAAGACCTTGTAGCCACTGCAACACAAGGAAGTGGGTTAAAATTCATACTGATTGCATACCCAACTTAAGAACCATCTATATATTCCTAGAGTTCAGCTGATGACCATCTGACATGGTGTGTTCATCAAGAGAGTGGCTCCCTTCTCCAGGAGCTTATGTAGGGAGTTGGAGGACAAGGAGAAGCACAGTGACTGCCACAGTGCCCTGCATGGGATTTTGTTCATCTGAAATTTAAGTGGGCAGTGCTTGTTTTCTGTAATCTGCCAGATAAGGAGCAGCTTGTGCCAGCAGTTACTTTACCTCATAGAGACAAGCCTGGTGGAAGGGTTGTCCACACCTGGGATCATCACACACTTGGTCTGGAGTGGCACCGTTGAGGCGATAGGCATAGCAGATCCCACAGTCCTTGGTGAAGTCCTGGAAACACAACACTTTTTAGCTTACACTGGGGCTGGTAACACACAAAACAGGTTCATCTCTTTTTGCTTTCATAGGTTTTATTACTAAGAATTACTATTTTTGCCTTCAGTATATTTGTTTATGCCATAATGGTGTAGATGGGAAACTGGTTTCCAGATGTACAAGACTTTACTGGGTTATATTTTGCATCTAGTTCAATAAGCATTTTCATACTTTTGGGCCCATTCTTTTTTTGATTAACCATAATGATTTGTCGTTACATTTCAATGTAAGATGTGACTGAGGGTTTGTGTCTAAACTTAGAAGTTTCACAAGTGAAAGCACAGCTCCTAATCTAGTGCGTTAAAGTGTTGTGAAAAATTAATTCCCATTTTGTTAGAAATGCACCAGTATTTGGATGGCCTCTTGTCCCCTCTAAGCAGCTCTACCTAATTAGAACTTAAGTCATCAACATCCATAACAGAATGTTTGGATTTTCCACATCTGTTTGTGTCTAAACTTAGAAGTTTCACAAGTGAAAGCACAGCTCCTAATCTAGTGCGTTAAAGTGTTGTGAAAAATTAATTCCCATTTTGTTAGAAATGCACCAGTATTTGGATGGCCTCTTGTCCCCTCTAAGCAGCTCTACCTAATTAGAACTTAAGTCATCAACATCCATAACAGAATGTTTGGATTTTCCACATCTGCTACTCTG